AAAATAAGAACGATGGGGAGCATTAAGAAGTAACATACGCAATAACCACAGTACACAAACAACCTGTATCCATGGTGATCCATGGTGATCCATGGTGCGATTCGGAGGGATCAGTGGCATGAAGAAACCTTTTTAGCAACATAGTGTGTTTTAAGGGTGTAGCAGCATTTATTGTTAAACAAATGTACAGTACAGTGGGGGAGGTCAGTGATTCAGTGTGTGTTGGGGGCAGTAGTGTTCATTGCCCTCACAGCCTGGGGAATGAAGCTGTTTCCAAACCTGGTGGTCCTGGTTTGGAAGCTCCTGTACCTCTTCCCTGACGGCAGAATGGAGAACAGGCTGTGGCAGGCATGGCCGGGGTCCATAATGACTTTGGAGGCTCAGTGGATACAGCAATGGGTGAAGATCCCCAGCAGGGATGGGAGACGGGCACCGATGATCTGTTTCTGTTCAGAGGTTGTGCAGGTTCCGATACTGTGGGTCAGAACACTTCCAGGGGTGCTCCTGTATGAGGTGGTGAGGGCCGGACTGGGTAGCTGACCTTCTTCAGCCTTGGGAGGGAATGGAGAGGCTGTTGGGCCTTCTTGACAACTGCCGTAGTGTTAGTGGTCAAAGTCAGGTCGTCTGTCAGGTACATGCCCAGGAACCTGATACCACTGTCCCTCCCCACGGCCCTGCCATCTGTGGTCAACAGGGGGTGCTGTTCTGCGTGAGCCTTGTCAATGTTCAGGAGGAGGTTATGGTGGTTGCACTACGCTGTTAGCTGCTCCTCCTCCATCCTGTATGCTGACTTCATCACCTTTGCTGACGAAATCCACCACTGTAGTAATACTCGCAAGCTTGATGATTGTGTTGTTGCTGAATCTAGCAGTATACAGTTGCGGGTGAGTAGGGTGGACAGAAGGGGGGTCAGAATGCAGCCCTGGGGCGAGCCTATACTCACCGAGGCTGCCGACACTGACCGGCTGCTGCCTTTGGCTCAGGAAGTCCGAGATCCAGTTACGGGAGCCAGTATCTCCAGTGACTTCAGCTTCTCCACCAGTCGCTCTGGTATGATGGTGTTTAAGGCTGAGCTGAAGTCAATGAAGAGCAGTCTGGTGTAGGCACCCTGATTCTCCAGATGGGACAGGGTGAGGTGGAGGGTGTCGGATAGAGCATCGACTGTGGACCAGTTGGTTCTGAATACAAACTGTAGGGGGTTTAGGTTTGTGGGGAGGCAAAGCTTTAATGTGTTGCATAACCAGTCCCTCCAAACACTTTGTTACAATCGGAGTGACTCGGCCTTCATTGTTGTGATCTTTGTTTTTTCGGTTTCAGCTGTGGTTCACCTGTGTAGTGTAACTCTTTGTTCTGTATCGTTTCTTCAGGGACAGTGTGACCTAATTTGCAGTGCCAAGGCAGATGCACTGGAAGCCCTGAGAGAGCTGATACTGGCTTTCGAGGCATATGGGCTGATGGCTAACGCTGAAGATGTCCAACACTCTTCCTCCTAATCCTTAAGCTAAAGATGGCCTGTCCGGGAGGGATGGTACCCAAGAGCAAGTATGAATTTGAGCCCCCTAAGGACAGAAATATTGGGGTGCACTTCTTATTTGCATTGCAGTACTCAGCTCAGTGCAGAACAGTGCCCAGATCTGCTGAATGGGAAGATTACAGACTTGCTCTCAGTTGGATCTTGGGTGAAATTGAGCCTGCCATTAGCAACTTTAGACAGTAAAATCCTTGATTGGCTCATTAGACCATATCCTCCAATTCCCACGTCCCATGAATCTGTTCGTAAATTAAGAAAATTGGAGCCCTTTCACTTTCTTTTAGATCCAGCAACGATTTTTCACACTCAGAGACCATGGGAGTTTGTAGTGACTCCTAAAGGTGGAGTGATGTCAGGATGCAGTGGCCAAGTCAGTGCTCAGTAATGCCAAGTGAGAGCAGTCACCCATATAAGGTAAAGGAGGTGTTATTTTGGGGGGGTGGCATTCTCTGGGAATTCTGTGGCGGCTGGGGTGTGGTGTGTTGATTAGTTGCATCTGTTGTTGCCACCCTCAGTCATACATTGTACATAAACAGTTTTTTTTCTTCCTCAAACCAAGTCCAAGTGTGTATGTTTACATTTACATTTGTTTGGCAGATGTTTTGTTCAAAGCAATATGTGAAACTAAAACATAACAAACCTATACAGTGTAGGCAAAAAAATATTTGCATAATGTGAGAAAATGGTTGATGATGACATTGATTATTGATTGGAAAACAATTCCAGAATATGTCTTGAATAAAAATTGTTCTTGTTTGTTTACATAACGCACATAATTGTAACATATTAGACTGTTTTTAAAGTTTGTTCTTCAATATCCTCAGTATAATTTTGACGATTTTTTTCACAGTGTACAAATAATTTTTGGCTGCACTGTAGATGTGAAGTCAGCATAGCCTATCAGCACATCAGCCTCCAAATATTTACCAGTAACCAGTGCGAGATGTATCATGACCCTGCTTGTAGAAACCTTCCTGTTCACACAATGTCCATGTGGTTTTCCTTCCAGTCTCTGATGAAACTCAGCTGATTTTTTCGTAATGATTTTGCCCGCTTTGTCACCCCAGGGAGGTGACTTTTGACCAGGCAGCCATAACACAGCCGATACATTTTGCTAAACATCTTCTACCTCTTTCACTGCTCATCACCCTGTTCTGGGTATGACTTTTACTGGTGTGTTTGACAGCACAGAATTCTCAGTAAACTTGGTAGATCCATTTTATTCTGACAGTGGTTGTTCTTCTGTGTTTATTAGACGTCTTTCTGTTCTCAGAGTAACGCCTCTGCTTTTGTCCCTCTTGTTTCATTCTTCTTCTTGCTTGTTCCTTCAGCTTCTCACACAATAAAACATGTTCTCCCTTCAAGAGTCTCTTGCGACTTTCTCGAGTCTCAACCTCTGTCTGTGAACTTTCCTTTTGTCAGCCATAAAATTTGGTTCTTGCAAACAAATGCTTGTCAGCTGGGAATTTATGTTAAAATGTCACGAGAGGGACTCGGAGACCCAGGTGCAGTTATCAGGGATTTATTGAAGGGAACCAGCCACGTGGGGCTCTGGGTCGGGGTCGCAGAAGAGAAGGCGTTGGTAGCCGGCGGAGCCAGTCCTATGAGCACTTTGTGGAAAGCTGGTAAGATCACTGTGAAGGTCCAAAGGGGGCTTGGGTGAGAGAAAGAGAAGGAACTAAGGAGGAACGGTAAGTAAGAATGGGTTGTGAAACAGAGTAGAAAGTGTAATTCTGAGTAAATTTCCCCCGCGTGGCCAATTTAATATGAATATGAACTCAATATAGACAATTCATTATGCACTGAATAGCAGAATTCGAGCCCATTGTGTGGCAGGTGAGCTGCTTGTTGGATGATTGTGAAACCATTGTGAATCAATGTTGCAGTTGCAGAGTATAATATAATATAGAGCTATGGGTACTGAACGGACAGGCAGGCTGGACGGCATCCAAACGGTAAATAATGTAAGTAGCTGTGTATAGTTATTGTTTGTTGTACCGTTATTGTATGTACCGTAATGTCCTGTGTAGTGATTGATGTTACATGTTGTAAATAGCAGTGTTTGTGTGCCCACCGTGAGCGGTGTGAGCAGCCGGCGTGACCAGCACAGTGGGCAGTGTGAGTGGGTTGGTGTGTGAATGGCACATGGCAAATGACCACCGTCTCCCGTTCAAAGTCGTTGTTGTGTGTCCCATTATTGAACAACATAGCATGTATGGCACCCTCGCTACAGTACAAGACTCTGGACATGGGTCTGTTTCTGATTGAGGCACCTTCCATTAACTTTTTCCTTTTTTTTAAATCCGAAAATATGTATCAAATGTGAAAACTCAATTTTCCTCGTTCACATCAATAACAAAAATTTGTTGCATTCTAGGGGGAAATAATGTACTGATGCATTTAGATTCAGGTTACTTCAAACCCCCCTCCTGTAGTTAAATTAAACGTGGTTAATTCAGTGTACTATAAATTGAGAAACTTCCTAACCACATTGCTCACAGGAAATAAACTCTGAATGCACCTCCTGACAAACGCTGTAGTGGTTTCTCTTTCCTCGCCAGTACACAGGTCCTGCCCAGAGTTTTGTCTCTTTTTGTGTTTCCATGTTAAAACAACCAGTGTAACAGTTTCTGTTAGCTTGAGCGAGAGCTTCTGTTCATGCTTTCTGAAATTGCACCCAATTTGTGGACTCTGCTTTTGAGCAGGAAGATGCGAACGAGAAGTTGAATCACAACTGCATTTCACAATCTGGGGAAGAAACCAGCACTTTCAAAGTTCAGAACCCGAAAACTGCACCAAAGAACGTACAAAGTAACATCATTTGCATTTTTTTTTGTCATATTTCTTAAATTGTTTCATTATTACATTAGTTGTATGTTACTATGCTATTAGTTGGATATTTATCGTTTCTTTCTACTTCCTCTTTAACATGATTTCAAAAATCAGATGTTGGGAAAGATTCCTTTAGGTTGGTCTAGGTTCTTTATAGCATTGAGCTGGTTGTTTAAAGACGCCCTGTTTTGTATTTTGGAAAGTGGATTCAAACAATTAGCTTTTCATCAGTGTTTTTACTGGCTATTTACAGCATTAACTCTGTGGCATCGCCATGAAAGCGGCACCATTGTGGATCCTGCTGTCGATAGTAGGATACTGTCTGAAACTCGCAGCTGACCGTGAGTAATTTTTACTTTCACTGAAATTTTTAACACAACTATAATTGGAATGATCTTGACCAATAATCTAAATGGATTCAATAAATTTCAAAATATTTCTAAATTAAACGTCATTAAACCCTTATGAAAGTCTCATTAAGGTTAACTTCTATCATGAGCATAACATTTATGAAAAGTGTCATAAAACAGTATCATATGAAATATTTTGCAAACTCTCGATGAACCAGATATTTATTCATTGATTTTACGTGTAATTCTTTTATTCACTTGAGTCAATAGCAGTACAATCTTCAGAATACTGTAATACAAACTTCCTAATGCACATTTTATTGAGCTCATATTGTGCCTGTCTATCTCCAGATGTTTTGTATTTGTATGTCTGGTCTAAATAAAAACAAGAATTAATGAGGCCGCAAGATAAGCTGTATACTAATATGTTTTCATTCTGATGATACATTTTGTGAATAGAGGTTACATTACAGGAAATTTGAGGGTAGGGCTGTCGTTACACTTTAATCTAGATTTGGAGACTATTTTTAGCCATTATTTGTTTAGCAAATACATTTATGCAAAGCAAGCTTTATTTATTGTAAGAAATATTTATCAATGAATATTAATTCCCAGAAAACTTACTGAATCAATCATGAATCCTAATGAAACATGATGAACATTTATGATGTCGCAGCACTTAGGGCCTCTGACTTCGATACATTTTTTCACTGCAGCCTTAATCATGACAAAATACTTTCTGTCTGGGGAGCCGGTTTGGATCACTCTGCAATATCCAGATCTTACAAATGGAACAGAATTCAGTTGGGAATGGACTTCACATAGTGGGATGACCCAACAAACTCAAATAGCCAAAATAACATTGTCAGATCATGGCTACTCCTGGACATGGGGAAAAAGGGCATCTTTTAAACAAGGTCAGAACTATGGCATTCAGATGGAACCGAAGTTTGCAAATGGAGGACTATATATTTTTTCACAAATGAAACCAACACGGTCCATCCTGGCACAGACTGAATTGATTGCAGTAAGAGGTAGGTTAACACTGCACTGAGATTTAACACTCATTTAGAGTAGTGTTTCTCAAACTGCTCCTAGCTGCAGGTAGCAAAAATGTCTGGCAGTAAACTGGAAAGGAGCAAAAATGTGGCCTGTCTGGGGGTCCCAAAGGAAGCATAGATTTAGAGAACAATATTGACTATTTGTGCAAGTTACCACCCTCCCACAACACCCCATTACAGCCGTTTCATTCTCTTCAATGTTATTCTCCAATCTATTAAATTATATAACATTATTCACTATTGTTTCTTTCTATCATTTGTTTGATGTTCTTTTTCTCTTTGTAGTAGCACCATATCAAAATGAATTGAACTAAATTTAAATATTTTCCCTGTTTCTCCAGTTGTCGCCCCGCAGTCTGATTCCGTCATAGGTTCTGATGCGAGCTTCAGCTGTGAGGCGTCTCGTCTGCCGGATTCAGTCACACTCCAGTGGGAGAAAAAAGAAAATCACATCCCTAATACCACTCTGCTGTACATCAACACAGCCCACATCATTATCCACAGCGTTGACATGCAGAGCAGTGGGGAATACCACTGTACATTCAGAAAGAATGGACGTCTAATCTATGATGTTATGAAAATGTTAAAAGTCAACCAATGTAAGTGGTTTAATATGACTGTTCTGAGATTAGCGGTGGAATCTAAGTTCGGCCAGTTCATTTCACAGATACCATCCCATCTCAATGTTTTTCAGACTCCTACAGTAAGCCGTACACTCTGTACAGAGAGGCATCCAACAGCAGCAAGGTTACGCTTATAAACCAACATTATGAACGGGCCAGCAAAGCTAGGTGGTACTGGAGACCCGCTTCACATACAACTGCGAAAAATAAACAGCCTGTCAGTGCCAGAATGATATTCCCATCTCAGGGTTTTGATGGTTATTACATACCTCTGCACATCTCACCAGTCACGTATGAAGAAAGTGGAATGTATGACTTATATATTAATGATTACTTCTACAACACTATAACACTGGTAACTCTTGAAGGTAATTCTTTTTTGTTGACTAGCACTACAGCTATTTTGCATCAGAATATTTGTATTATTACATTTGTGACAATTGAACGCTTGTCTATGTTAATGTACAGTATTGTTCATGTGTTCAGTGACTCTCGATCCCCCTGGAGGTCTCTTTGGGAACAAGACCCTTGTCCTGACCTGTGAGGTGTCAGAGACAACTAACTCGTTGACCCTGGCCTGGTTGAGGATGGAGGGGAATAGGGGGGTGCTGGAGAAACAGGAAGCTCTGAATGAAAATCAGCTCGACAGGAAGCTCCGGCTGACCCTGTCCAGCCCCAGCAGAGACCAAACGCACTGGGCTTGTGTTATTTTCAGAGGGAGGTCGCTGAGAGCAAAGGCGTCCCTGCAGATCAGCCTGCCTGGTATGTTCTTCCTGCATCACTCCTTCACATCTGTAGACCTGCTTTTCCGAGAAATGTATACAGTAAATTATAAGGCCACACTAAAAACTTGACCCTGAGTATTAAATTGGGTTATTTCAGTGTAATCTACCCTGTTTGCTAACTTTGCTGAATACAGGGATTCAGACTAATTATTCAGATTTTTGAAACGTAAAACAATGAGTCGTTCAACAATAAATCAATATTTAAATAAATATTTTAAACCCTTGCCTGTTAATTAAATTATTTGAAATTTCTTAATTACGTTACTTCACTTCCGAGCCCTTCATTCTGCATATCCGCTCATCCAGTACAGGGTCACAGTGAATTTGCCACCTATCTTAGGAAGCGCAGGCAGGGAGCACCGTGGATGGGATGCTGGTCCATTGCAGAATACCTGGGCACATAATCACATACTGTGGCTTATTGGGAAATGTCAGTTCAGATCCACGTTTTTTTGGACCAACAGAACAAACTGGGACACATAAGAAAACCTATGTTTGGGTTCTGAAAAGGGGTGTGTGAGCTAACTGCTTGGCAGCTGGGTCCCAGTCAATTGTAAAATAAACAGGCCTTTATTCCAGTTGATTCTGGAAGCTTCCAAACTAATGAAAGACCATCTTATTCTCATTACTATGTATAGACACTCACTGGGTTACGATGGGATTACATCTCGATAAACCTACTGTCAGGCAAAAATATCATGAAGCAAAAATGTGTTTTAATACAGGACACCTAACCTAACAAACGTCACAGCCTGGCCTAGCTTAAACACGCGTAGAACACTTACATTAGCCTACAACTGGACAAAATAATTAACACAAAGCTTAATTTATAAAAGAAAAGGTGTTGAATGTCTCATGCAATTTATTAAATAAAGCCAAAATATCGTAACATGGACCATCATAACAGGGGGAGTATTAAAATTCATACAATAAAAGCACACACCCTTCAAAGAACTGAGCCTTTGAAATTGAAGAAACATTTTGTGGTTATGTTCCTGCTGTACAAAATGCCTTTATAGACTAATGGCCAATGACGTTCTGTATCAGGATCGGTCCTTGTTCTGCCCCCTTCTGTAAGCCAGTTCCCCGTTTGGCCAACAGGTGTCGCTGGCCATCCTGTTTGGTGTTGGCTCCTTATGTTTGTCCTGTGCCCCGAGTTGCTGCATGGCTTAATGGCCTGAGTAGGCAGCTGTCGTCCAGGCTTTCCTTTCTGTTGTGGGGTTGTTCAGTTACCTTTGTTATCTAGTCTTCCCTTATCTGTTGATTGCCCTCATCTATGCTGTTCCTAGTAACTGTATTGGCCCACAGCTGTCCCTCACTTTAGCCTTGTCATCTGTGCATATATGTACCAACCCTTGCCCTTGTTCCTCAGTAGGTCATTGTATCCAGTTGTGTTGCCTTGTGTGGTTTCCTGTTTTAATTCTTGCTTTACCCTCCTACCTTGGTTTGACCCCTCATGGTCCCTGTTTGTATCTTTAAATAGTGTGAATCCATAACACGAATTGTCCGTCCTTCACCGTGCCTGTCCGTAACAGTTCTGCTGTTCCTCCAGCTCCATCTGCTTCACAAAACAACATTATCCCAATGGTAGCTGCTGTTGGACCACTCAGCGCTGTGTTCTTAGTGGTAGCTCTGGTGCTGTTTTACAAGAGGAGACAAGCAGCAGGTGAGACCAGCAACCAGGTCCTTTCCACAGCCATGGGGGGGGGGGGGCTGTGAATTGGAATGGGGCAAATGGGGTGGCCAATTGGAGGGATGTCACGATGGGCACGGGTGGCATTCATGAAGCATTCATGTTATGCTGAGCTATTTCTATAAGGAAGCTCATATGGTACGAATGTCCGGAATTTCCCATTGGGATCAATACACTGCATCTTAATTTGGCCCTAGGAGCCTTCAGTGTGCCGTATTATTACTAAACACGTCTAACATTTCATTAACTATAAACATCCTGTACAGGTGTTTCTCCGGAGGCAGCGGAATATGTGTCCGAGTCAAAAGCGAAGTACAGCAGCGTCCTCAGTTTGCAGGAGTGCAAATGTAGCGTGAGACCCTCCCTTTACCTTGCACCATTGCCGGTCCTGTGGGCTGATCAGTATCCAATACTCTGAGCCACTTTGCTAATCATATTACTGACACGTGTTTCCTTATCCTAGCCATTCCACTGTCACCAAGAGAAGTACAGAATGACTCAGAACTTGTACCTGCCCAGACTGAAAATATCTACAGCAACGTTATTTACCTTCCAGAGGACACAGGTACAGTGTCATGAGGACACAGATACAGTGTCATGAGGACACAGTTAGAGTGTCATGAGGACACAGTTAGAGTGTCATGAGGACACAGGTACAGTGTCATGAGGACACAGGTAGAGTGTCATGAGGACACAGGTAGAGTGTCATGAGGACACAGGTACAGTGTCATGAGGACACAGGTACAGTGTCATGAGGACACAGATACAGTGTCATGAGGACACGCCAGTGCATAGACTTGACAGCCAAGTGCTTGAAGGTTGAACAAAGATTAGATTCTGCATGTGTGTCTTAAAGCATTCATTTTCTATTCCCATTCTTACATAATTCCCTTCTAGGTCCTATAAGAACGTCAGTTGTGGATGAGAACCAAGAACTACAGTATGCAGCTTTGGTCCTAAGAAGTCTTAGTTCTCGTGAGTTTAACATCATTCGTCATTCATAACTTCTACTTTTTGAAAAAGTTTGTAATAGTTGAAAGTGGTAAAAATCTGTGTCTCAATTAAAAAAAACAAAAGCAAAAAAGGTAAAACTTAAGGTCAAAGAGAAAAATACTTTTTCCAAAGCAGTGCCAAAACAGTTTGTTCGTTTTCTAATTAGGAAAGAAAATTAAAGGCCGTATTAAAATTTCTTCAAGGTTGTATGACATGTCTTTAATCTATACTGGACCTTCTAATGAATCATATACAGATCATATGTATATAATAGAACTGACCATCTGTCCCTAAAATTTACATTTGGGTGCAGTTTGGTAATTGTTTCTAAAATTCTGGTTCTTAATGCAATTTCATTCTGCATCTTCTTAGAAGATTCAGCATCTCCTGCCTCTACAATGGTTGAACCGTCACATGCAGTAAGTTTCATTAACAAATAACTATTACAGTCCAAAGTCTGTCCTGTGTAGTATGATGTGTAGTATGATATGTAGTATGATAAACTCTTTATATTTTTGCTACTACTGCACTTGGATTAAAAATAAGAAACAAAGGATTATGAAACGTTAAGCAATATGACTGATTTTCATTTAGTGGAAATATGTGAAGAAACAAACTTTCATAACTATGGACGTAATATTGAACTAATTAAAATATGCAAATAGGCTGTGTAAATCCAAATCTGTTTCCATTTTTTTTTCTGTCTGCACAGGAGCAAACGAATGACATGGTGATCTATTCAGATCCAAGGATATAGTGAGATGGCTGTGTGGGATTCTGTCTGCATCTTAAACTCTGACATAATGGCGAATTATACAACTCACACACACACACACACATACACATACATACATAGTCTTCCGTTGACTTACATCCTATTGAGTAACTTCCCATTGTACTTACGTCACACCAGACCCTTAATAATATTTATAGAGACATCTGAAGTAGACGTAGCGGATGTGAGCAACAAGAACCAAGACTGCACTGCCCTTAGAGAGGTGTAGTTAGATGTATGTGATACTGTGTCTTATGTTATGTGCAGTATATTTGACCTCTCCCCAATAATGACCATGGTACGTCCAGATTGAGTTACGTCCTCACTTCCAGGACAAAACCAGGACAGAAGCTGAAAGATACATAAAAGCGTTTTACGTGCTCCACATACCGCTAAAAATGCTAGCGCCATCTGTGGAGCCGACACAAAACAGCTACACAACGACGGGATCGCGCTGGCGTTGATGCTTTGCCTTGAGCTCTACGTGGACTTCAGCCGGAGATGCATCCACTATGCGATCATCAGATCACAGGATACAATGGGTGCCAAGAATCTCCAAAAATGCTCCATGAAGATACTTATAGGTGGATCAGGTGTTGCATAAGGGATGTGGGTCCCTCCCAGTCACCTGGTTTATATGTTTATGTACAGCTCAGCAACAGTATGTCACACTTTGGACTCTGACCATTGAATTTTTTTTAAATAAGAATGACCTTGCATTGCCCGTAGGTGAGTGTGTGTGAGTGACAGGTGTGTGAGTGTGCCTTGTGATAGGATGGTGCCCCATCCTGGGTTGTTCCCTGCCTTGGTTTTGCACCCCTCTGACCCTGAATAGGACAAGTGGTTTCAGAAAAAGGATGGATGGATGTATGTATGGATGACCCTGCATATAATTGTTATGTAAAAATGTGTTGCTTCTGCATGAACAATATTCAAGCACAGTTTCCATCAACAATGACCCACATCAAAAGTAATTGAGGGAATAAGGGACATATAAGGGAATAAGGGACATATAAGGGTATAAGGTACATATAAGGGAATAAGTGACATATAAGGGAATAAGGGACATATAAGGGTATATGGGACATATAAGGGTATAAGGGACAGTCTTGACCAGAAGTGTGACAGGGAGTATATGATGCTTTATACCACCATATGTCTTCTTGTTCCAGTTTTATTAAATACTCTTTCCTGTCAGGTGTATTCATATGTATGGCCTACAGGTGGCAGCATTATAAAGAATATGTAGTGCAGCACTGGATTACAGGCTTATACAGGTTATAGTGCAGCATCCTCAAGATAATATAGGAATATATATAGTAATGAGCTGCAAGGAATATACAAAGCAATAGTTTAACTGTGTAACCCCAAAAACTGCTCTAGGTGCAAAGGATTAGCAGATAACCCTGTGCTCTGACCCTTGTCTGTGTAAATGTCTCATAGGAGAGACGTGTAGGTTCCAGCTCCGTGCCCATGATTGGAAGGTTGCTCGCTCCAATCCCATGGCCCCAGGGATGCGATCTGACTCTGCTCTCTTATCCTGACCTTGCTTTGGATTGAAGTGTCTGCTAAACTAATGTAAAATAGATTGGGGGGCAAGATGGGGGTGTGCAACAACAAGAGAAACACTATATATCTAGGCTTGTACAAATAGCAAATAAAGTTTCTGATTTATATTTTCAATGCAGGTTCAACTACTGATGAGGGAGGGGCTTGTCCTCTGGCTGCCCTCCCCATTTCACAGGTGGTTCAGTGCAGCCAGGAATTATTGGCCATTATATTGTAGCACCAAATGACAAGGCGGTATGTTTCTCCAATGCTGAAGGCACAACGCATTTTTCTTTTATGACTGTGATGGACGTCTTTATTCATGCAGAATAAAGAAGACTGTGTCACTTGTAGATTCAAGTGCTGTCCTATGTTTGGATGAGAGAACAAAGATCTGCTTCGTTTTGCAGAGCTGGGCCTGTAAGCAGGGCATGAAGGGAAGAGTCATGCAGAGGGATTCTGGTTTGAGTGATAAAACAGTCGCGCGTCGCCTAACGATGGGGAAACATCCCGAGAAAGGCGTCGTTAGGCAATTTCCATTGTTGTGCCAACATTACAGAGTGTACTTACAGAAACCTAGGTGGTGTAGCCTACTCCGCACCTAGGCTATGTGGTATAGTCTAAATAAGGATAAAGCTGGTTTCAGCGTGTTCCATCCTGGCCCCGACTGCAGAAGAGGTGGGTTAGCATTACCATTAGCATTTAACACTCATTTAGAGTAGTGCTCTTCAGATTGGTCCCGGCTCCTGGTAGCAAAAATGTGGACTGTCTGGCAGGGAGCTGGGAGGAAGCAAAAACATGGACAGTCTGGGGATCCCTGTGGACCGGGTTAGGAATCACTGTCTTAGGTGATCCATTTTGTCTGTGGAGATAGTTGACCTTGAGAGGGTAGTCCAGTACAATTAGATATCTATATATAGATTTTTTTGTCTGCTATCAAGGTTTCGAATACAAGACAGAAACATTGATAGTTGTATCTGTTTTCCTCGTATTGTTTTATGATATGAAACTTTCACACACTTGAAACCTTACCTTTCAGCAGAAGGAGCAAAAACTCACTTTTCCAGTGTGCTTCATACTTTTATAATAATCTGGTAGTTTTCTGAAAAAATGAGGTGACACCGCAATTGCTTATGTCTGGAGCTTCTTTGAAAGGTATATACATACTTGCAGAGAACAATGCAAATGCAAAAAAGGCATGGGACTCAGCTTGCGTGGCAGGGCCTGACCGATCCGTGGGCCCGCTTGCGGCTCGAAGAAGCTGGACCCCAAGAGCTGATGAATAATCCCTCGGCCAGACGCTGGGCCTGAGCCGGGCAAACCCAGGAAACGCTCGCCGCAGAGCCTTTACGCCCGCCTTGAAAGCCTGAAAGCGAGCGTCTGGCTCCCGGCCCGGCCAAGAACCCTGTGCCGGTTGGCGTATGATGCCGATGAAGGCTCTGCTCCCAGCTCCAGTTGGCCCCGTCCCAGTCTCCTCCCAGACCTTTACCTTATGTCTTCCGTGATTACAGAGATACACCTGTTCACTTAGAAGCTTCCTGTTTACGATCCTCATCAACTGTGCATATGATTGCATAGAAAATGTATTACTGTAATGAGTGCCGTGTCATTGTAGTTTTGCAGAGTCATAGTGGTATGTTCCTGAACCCCAAGGACAGACCATTGGTCAAATCTTGTCTTTATCTGCTGAAGGGAGCATCCTGTATCTACAGTCTATAACACCTCTAAATCCATACCATCACAGCTCTTCAGATCTTAGTCCTGTCCTCCCTCTCATAGTTATGTGACTCCTGCAGTAACTCCAGGCTGAGAGCCTAGTTAATGCTGAAAAGCAGACGATGCCCATCGGCACCTGAATTACAGGCTATTGCCTTTAAAAGGCTGCCTCATTACAGGCTACTGCCTTTAAAAGGCTGCCTCGTCCCTTCATGTGCCTCAGTGCCTCATGAGATATCAACACGGATATCTGTACAGTATATCTGAAAACCCATTTCCATTCTGTCACCAACACGGTTCGGACAGCCCCTTTTAGGACAACAACACAGGGATTTTTGTTAGATAATGCATGTATTTAACTTCCCCCAAAACATCTGTGCCCTCCTACCCCACCCACAGATACATGAGCTGAAAACCCACCCAGTTCTCCATATATCTGATCTCCAACAGGGGTCATTGTACCTTCTGCCCTCTGCAGAGCAATTCCTTTTCTAGCCCATTTGACAGCAGGGCCAATTTGCTAGAATTTGTCGCATTTTGTGAAGGTCCAAAATAAGGGACACATATTTTTTTGTGTTTAGTTTAATAAATGAGTGCTTAAATTGTAGATTTCCAATCACAAAAAGTGACTGGAATTTACTTTAACCCAGTGTTTTCCTGTCTGGTCCTCGGAAACCCACAGTTGGTCCATGTTTTTGCTTCCTGCAAGCTTCCTGCCAGACAGTCCACAGTTTTTGCTTCCTCCTGGGATCTGGGCGGGAGGAAAAATGTGGACTGTCTGTAGGTCCCTGAGGACCGGATTGGGAAAAACTTTTTTAATCTAAAAGAAAAAGAAAAGTGAAACATTTTGATTTCTTTAGAACTCATATGTGATCTGAACGTTTTGATTGGAAGCGTTTTTAATAGTGATTATAACAATAAGTTATCTGGGTAGTTTTCTACAAGCTTGATATGCTGTCTGGGTGCAGCTCTTGTCTGTGGTTCCTCTTCACCCCATTCTCATTAGACAGGAAATGTGAGATGACTGAGGTCGAAGGTGTGGTGACTGACTGTATCTCTGGTTGTCACGGTGCTGTGGCTTGGTCCGGCCCCATGTCATTAGAGAACGACGTCGCCAAACTCCCCTGAATAGCCGGCTCCGAATGTTCCTGTTGGAGAGCTTCCCTGAGCGCTCCTGTTAGGTCCGGCCAAAGCATGTCTCATGCTGTGGGTTGGCTCTGCTGCTTCCTGTACCCACACCAAGCCTTGATTGTCGCTTGCTTGGTTCATCTGAGCGCAGGAATACTATATAAAATGATAACTACTTGCTAGAATAGCAGACGTATATGACTTAATAATTTGAAGAATTTTTGCAAGTTAATTATTTCGAGTCTGGCCTTGGATTGGTTAAAAGCAATCTGTTGCACGCCTGTGTTATATGGTCTGGACCGATGGCCTTCCCTCACTCAGTCTTCTTTCCAACAGACTATTCTCCAGCTCATTTGCAGACTCTGACAGATTACCGGTCCTTGTCTTTTCTCCTGTACTCACACATAATTCCATCTCTCACTTTTTCGGCCAAACCCTTCTCCGTCCTCTTCATCAAAGCGGAATCCTGATGGCAGCCACTCCGCCACCACTGGACATGACACCTCTTTGATTTTTGGTTCAGCGTGAGCTCGTGCAGTTATTAAAAGGGACCTTTCATTTAAACAGAGCTTATAGCGTGTGTGCCAGGTGTCGGCTGTCTGATTGGACGCTCACACTGCTTCTGATACCATTGTGCTGCTCCGCATGTGCAGTACTGTGCCAGCATGCACAAAGCTTTTGTATGTTCCTTTCTTGCTTTGCATCCTGGCTTCTGACCTTGGCTCATTTTAATTCTCTATAAAAACCAACAAGAGCTGGGAGAAAGTACTGGGGAAAGGAGAGCGTGACTCAGTCAACTGCGGGAGGAGCGGAGAATCCACTGGGAAACATTCAGCCAAATGTGACATCAACCATCAGTGCTCCAGACCACTGTAATCCTTTCTCTTGTCTCAATTACCATTGATTATTTCTCCCAGTAATTCTGTAACACGATACGATCACTTTCTGGATAGAATTGCATTTAGGAAAGCTGATAAACATGCTGTTGTGAAAAGGAAAATACGGATGCCGCACAATGATACTGTTAGGATATTACATAAGGATAATACCTTTAAATTCAGGTTATTTCTTTCTGTGCTCACCCTGCGGGACCTTGTGAGGTCTGCTCTTCTAACGGAGGTTCACAGAAAGCAAACGTCCGCGTGCCTCTTTTTTCACGCACGGTTAGCCCAACTGTGGCATGACTGGGCCCAGTGCCAGTAGCATCAGCAACAGCCCCCAGCAAGCAGCTTGATCAGGGAGGGGTTGCAGAGTTTTTACTTAGCTATCTATCACCGGCTGCTGATCAATAAGGATTATTAGCAGCCTACTGTGATTGGTGGGTGAAGCGTTTCCCATGAAAATGTATCCGGTGGGGCGGTAAAGGCCTGGACCAGGCCAGCTGAAACTGCAGCACCGCAGCCACACTGATCCAATCAATCTCCCAGAGCAGTCCTTCCCTTTCTTTTGCTGGCTGGGAGCAGGGGTGGGGAGTGGGGGGCACAACTGATTGGACCTCATTGCATGATTAAATGTAATGGATTGGCTAAAGGGAGGCAATACATCACACACAAGATCTATGTACAGCTGATATGATGAATCACCGTAATCCAACATTCCAGAGAACACAAACGTGCAGCGTACAGCGGGGGAAGCCACAGGGCTTTGTGCGGTGACAGCTTCAGCACTCGCCGCAATGTGAAAATGAACTGTTCAATTATATCCAAAATGACTCGAAAGACCAGAAACTAGTATCAGAATGCTATGGTGCAGGGCTCTTCACATCTGGACCTCGATTCCAAATCCAGGCCGTGTTTTCAGTTCTCCCAGGTAGGTAGTTTAATAATTACTGATTCTGATTGGTCAGAGGCTTCACACCTGGCTCACAAGTAAATGAAGGCTGGAAAACCAGCAGGGCTCGACCTTCAGAGCCGTGATTTGAATAGCCCTGCTCTAGTGTCATAAAGTAAAATTACCATTAATTACCGTTAATTGAGTGTAAGCTGAAGGGAAAAGAGGCCTTTAGAAATAGCAGTTGCACCTCATTGAAAGGAAAGGTGATCATTAATCAATTGGTGCTGCTTGCAAGCTGCAAGGTTGGACTTAATATCCTTGTTCAAATATTAACACGGGCAAAGTGGAGCAGATCCGCAGCGACAGTTCAGCACCAGCAGATGCTGTCAGGATTTCTTCAGTTTCTCCTGAACAGATGAATCTGGAGGAACCTTTGGAAAAGGCGCTTCAAGACTGTGGAAGTGTAAGATGGTGACTTGCTCTCCAAATACATGCTTATTTGCATGCCGATGAAAGAGAATACAGAAGGTGTGTGTTGGGGGGGGGGGTACCCAATACTGTCCCTCCCTTTCCCCAACAAGCCCCCCCCCCCCCGCCCCCCATCCTGGAAACAAACTGATTAATGTCTCCTCCTTTGGAGCTCTTGTCTACATGATGTTAGACTGGATACACAGCGGGGAAACAGGTCCTAA